GGGTCTAGTTTTTGTATCCATTCAACCAGTCTTTGTCTTTTGGTTGGGGCATTCAACCCATGTACATTTAAGGTAATTATTGATAAGTATGATCCCATTTCCATTTACTTTGTTGTTTGGGGTTCGAGTTTATAGACCTTTTCTGTGTTTCCTGTCTAGAGAAGATCCTTTAGCATGTGTTGGAAAGCTGGTTTGGTGGTGCTGAATTCTCTCAGCTTTTGATTGTCTGCAAAGCTTTTGATTTCTCCTTCATTTTTGAATGAGGTACTTGCTTGTTACAGTAAGCTGAGTTGTAGGTTTTTCTCTTTCATCACTTTAAGTATGTCCTGCCATTCCCTTCTGGCCTGAAGAGTTTCTATTGAAAGATCAGCTGTTATCCTTATGGGAATCCCCTTGTGTGTTATTTGTTGTTTCTCTCTTGCTTCTTTTAATATTTGTTCTTTGTGTTTGATCTTTGTTAATTTGATTAATATGTGTCTTGGGGTGTTTTGCCTTGGATTTATCCTGTTTGGGACTCTCTGGGTTTCTTGGACTTGGGTGGCTATTTCCTTCTCCATTTTAGGAAAGTTTTCAACTATTATCTCTTCAAGTATTTTCTCATGGTCTTTCTTTTTGTCTTCTTCTTCTGGGTTTCCTAAGATTCAAATGTTGGGGTGTTTGACATTGTCCCAGAGGTCTGTGAGTTTGTCCTCATTTCTTTTATTTTTTTTTCTTTTTTCCTCTATGCTTCATTTATTTATACCAGTCTATCTTCCATCTCACTTATCCTACCTTCTGCCTCAGTTATTCTACTGTTGGTTTCCTCCAGGGTGTTTTTCATCTCAGTTATTGCATTATTCATTATTGATTGACTCTTTTTTTATTTCTTCTAGGTCCTTGTTAAACATTTCCTGCATCTTCTCAATCCTTGTCTCCAGGCTGTTTATCTGTAATTCCATTTTGTTTTCAAGAGTTTCGATCATTCTTACTATCATTATTCTGAATTCTTTTTCAGGTAGACTCCATATCTCCTCCTCTTTTGTTTGGTTTGGTGTGCTTTTATCATGTTCCTTTACCTGCTGAGTATTTCTCTTCTTTTTCATCTTGTTTAGATTGCTGTGTTTTGGGTGTCCTATCTGTATTCTGGCAGTTTGTGGTTCCTTTTTATTGTGGAGGTTCCTCACTGTGGGTGGGATTGGATGGGTGGCTTGTCAAAGTTTCCTCATTAGAGAAGCTTGCATCAGTGTTCTGGTGGGTGTAGCTAGATTTCTTCTCTCTGGAGTGCAATGAAGTGTCCAGTAGTGAGTTTTGAGATGTTTATCAGTTTGCTTTCTTTTGGTCCGCCTGTATGTTAGAGCTCATGGTTATATTCCTGTGTTGCTGGAGAATTTGGGTGGTATGTTTTGCTCTGGAACTTCTTGGCTCTTGGGTGGAGCTTGGGTTCAGTGTAGGTATGGAAGCTTTTGGATGAGCTCTTATCGATTAATATTCCCTGGAGTCAGGAGTTCTCTGGTGTTCTCAGGTTTTGGATTTAAGCCTCTTGCCTCTGGTTTTCAGTCTTATTCTTAGAGTAGCCTCAAGACTTCTCCATCCATACAGCACCGATGATTAAACATCTAGGTTAATAGAGAAAAGATTCTCCACAGTCTGAAACATGGAGAGAGGTTCACGGAGTTACATAGAGAAGAGTAGAGGGAGGAGGGAGATAAAGTTGACCAGGACGAGGAGAGGGGGAATCAAAAGGGGAGAGAACAATCTAGCCAGTAATCAAATCCCTACGTGCTCTTCACAGCCTGCAATATCCAGAGAGGTTCACAGAGTTACAATGAGAAGAGAAGAAGGAGGAAGGAGATGGCGGTCACCAGGAGAAGAAGGGGGGGCTCAAAAGGAGAGACAGATCTAGCCAGTAATCAGTTCCCTAAGTGTTCTCCAGAGCCTGCAATACCCTAAGAGATTCACAGAATTTAGTAGAGATGAGATGGGGGAGGGAGGAGATAGAGGTGACCTAGGGGAGAAAAAGGGGAGTCAAAAGGGGGAGAGGGCAATCAAGCCAGTAATCACACTTCTAAGTAAAAATGGCACTGAAGATTGGATTCTTAAAGGTACAAAATTGATAACAAATGCCAAAATGCAAAGATTAAAAATCTAGAGTAGAAGTTAGACTTTCAAAAATGTGATATTAAAAAACAAAAAGAAATCACAAAAATTATAAAAATAATACATATGTAATTTGCTTTAAAAATAGGGTCTTTTTTGCAAGGTAATAGTAGGTTATAAAAATTAAAATTAAAGGAGTAATAAAGGACTTCAAAATTTTAAAAAATTAAAAATAAAACAAATGACAATAGCAAAAATACATCCAGGAATTTCTCTGGAGCTGTTGTGGGCATTGTGGGGTCACTTCAGTTTCAGATAGTTCCTTGTTTCAGCTTATACTTCTCAAGTTCTATAGGCCCCTTCCAATGTAGTCAGTGCTAACTACAGGGTTTTAATCTGTTCCATCAGTCACTTCTAAAGCGGTTCCCTCTGTTTATTTTGGCTTCTTCTGTTTACAAGTCTCTTCAGTGTCTAATTTCCTCCCTGACACAAGGGGGCGGTAGTGGTCACTTATTTAGGCTCACTTGTTGAGTCGTGCTGCAGGGAGGGAGGAACACTGCAAACAAATATCACTGGCATGTGTGGGGAGTGCTAGCCGCACTGGGTTTGCCCCTGCTCACGGCGTGTGTGCTTTCCCAGTCTACACTGCTGAGGTTCCAGGTTGCTCTGCAGGGGAACTGTCTAAAGTGGGCCCTGGGTTGTGTGCACTTCCCAGGTCTAAGCTGCTCAGGTTCGGGTTCTCAGGTACTCCACAAATGCACAGACTCCTTTGCACGTGCGTTTTGTGCCCTTCCCAGGTCTGAGCAGCACAGGCTACCAGGTGCTTGGCGAGTGCACTCTCCCCAGCTGGGTGGGACGTCTTATCACCTCTCCTGTCCCAGCTGCTTGGTTTCCTGGGTGCACAGTGGGAGCACCATCTCAGCTGTGCTGTGTGTCTCTTCTTGGGAGCTGATCTCTGGCTGTGACCCTCCTGTAGGATGTCAACCTTCTAGGATCCCAGGAAGACTTGGTTAGCAACTGGGAGCCTGCTCACAGTTTGGTAGAGGATGCCATCTCTGGGGCCAAGATTGCCCCTTTCTGGCTCTGGTGGGGGACGGGCTGGTCTGCAGCAGGCTAGCTTTCCTCTGGTCCTTTCTCTCAGTCCTTTGTTCTGTGAGTGGGCCCAGTAGTGCCTTAGGTTAGAGCTTCTCACGGGAATGTTCTCTCTCTCTCTCTCTCTCCTTTTCTCTTTCTCTGGCTATTCCTCTGTTTGGGTTTCTATCTCACTTTAGCTTCCTCAGATTGTCCTCAGGTCATTCAGGCCCGGTCCCTACCCTAAGCAATGCAGCCCATGCCTCCTTGTTCAGCCCCCACTTGCTGGTGTCAGATGTGAGCGACTGGGCTACTTCTCCACTGGAAGTTGCCAGTAGGCATGTAATCTGTGGGCTTTATTTATTTATTTATTTATCCTCCCAGTTAAGTTGCCCTCTGAGATTCCAAAATGCCCCACAGACCCGCCAGTGAGAGGGTTTCCTGGTGTTTGGAAACTTCTCTTTTATGACTCTCTCTCAGGGATGGCACTCCATCCCTAACTCTTTTGCCTCTCTTTTTATCTTTTATATTTTGTCCTACCTCCTTTTGAAGACAATGGGCTGCCTTTCTGGGTGCCTGGTGTCCTCTGCCAGCATTCAGAAGTTGTTTTGTGAAATTTGCTCAGAGTTCAAATAATCTTTCGATGAATTTGTGGAGGAGAAAGTGGTCTCCCCATCCTATTCCTCCACCATCTTAAGGCCGCCCCTAGTTATAAAGATTAGAATTGAGGTGCTAGTAACTGAAATATTATACAGAAAAAAAGAGAAATACATACTTGGGTTTTGACATGATGCCTTTTTAAAAATGGTGATTGTATTTCCAATGCTACTGAATCAATACTAAATGGAAATATATTTGTTTGATATAGATGATATTAAGAAGCTTCTTCATGCAAAGAGAAAAAGATTTATAATGAATACCAATGCTTCTGTCCAAAGCATTAACGTGATAATTGAGCATGTTTGGAAAACTCAGGAGGAGCAAAGGTAACAAACATTGTTGGTTTTTAGAGCCAGGACCTGGCTGTCATATCTTAGTGTTTGTGAGTCCAGCTTAATTAAAATAATGCTGTTATCCTCTATTAATTGGTGTCTCTGTTGAGAAATATATGCAGTTTGATTTTTATTGACATCAGTAGTTCCTTTAGTCCTATAACCTTACACCTTAATTGAAAAGGGAGTTATTACTAAAGGTCGATAACGGTAACCTATTTTCTGCTTTAAAATTATAGCTGAATTTTGTTAGTATTTAAGAAAAAAACATGTTCGTTCTTGGAATATGCTAGATGAATAAAAGAGAAGTGTCTTGTGATATTTAGCTGTATTCAATTGTGTGGAAAGGGTTAATCTTATCTTTGAATAAATTCAAAATTTATCATCATCGGGTCCACTGTTCTTTTATGCAAAATCTTTATTGTGACAGGGTGAGGGCGGGGGAAGTGAAAACTTGTTTAGAAAACTGTTTTAGAAGCAGTTTAGAAAACTTATATGATATCTTCATTGAATCTCTTTATCATGTCACAGCCTATATGTTATTCAGTAAGTGATAATGAAAAAAAAAACTTATAGATAAAATGCATTTGGGGGGAAGTTTATACTGCATTAAATCTTCCTTAGTTCTCAAGAGCTAAGGCATGTGAGATCACATCCCTCTTAGACAATTGAGGACAAATACTGAGGGCATGAGAGTAAATCATCCAGTTTGTTTTGCCATTTCCCATCAGAAATTTTCAGCTGCAATTATTCCCTTCTCCCTTTATAGTATAATTTGTGTCAAATCAGTTTTGTTTTGAATGTGTTTATTTTTTTCTTAGTGATATGAAGTATGACATTACTCATTATTACGTTTTACAGGCAGAAGCTTTATCGTGAATATTCTCAGCAGTTTCTGACTTTGTTTCTGGAGTGGGATATAAGCGTGCAGGAAACCAAGGAGGAAGAAGAAAAACTAGCTGTTGGTATCAGGCTTAACTTTCTAATTAATCTGTTGTAACCAAGAGGCTTCTCAAGAGGTGGCACTAGTGGTAAAGAACCTGCCTGCCAGTGCAGGAGACCTAAGAGGCACGAGTTCAATCCCTGGGTCAGGAAGATTCCCTGGAGGAGGTCATGGCAACCCACTCCAGCATCCTTGCCTGGAGAATCCCATGTACAGAGGAGCCTGTCAGGCTACAGCCCATAGGGTTGCAAAGAGTTGAACACGACAGAAGCGACTTAGCAGGCACGCAAGTCTCAAGTTTAATGGAGAGCCTGGTCATGTCTTAGACCCATAGACCTGAACCAGGGCCCCACTGCTGCCTATGTGGTTGGACCCGGATCACAGAAAATCAGAGAAGTACAGGCACACACCGCACTCACAAAAGCCCCTGGTCTTTACTCCCTCTCTTGGTTTGGATTCTTGCAGTCCCAAGTGTCGGAAATTTACCAGAGTACAAAAGCAGAGTTTCAGGCCTTATCTAAAGTTTCTCAGGCAGGGTCATTTGGGCTCTGTCTCTATCTCCTAGTAGGATTTTTCCATGAGGTCTGTAAGATAGAGTCTTGCAGTCCTAAACGTGCTGTCAGCTAATAAACTGCAGTGTGCTGTGCTTAGTCTCTCTGTCGTGTCGGACTTCTTTGTGACCCCATGGACTGCAGTCTTCCAGGCTCTTCTGTCCATGGGGATTCTCCAGGCAAGAATACTGGAGTGGGTTGCCATGCCCTCCTCCAGAGAATCTTCCCAATCCAGGGATCGAGCCCAGGTTTCCCGCAATGCAGGCAGATTCTTTACCATCTGAGCCTCCAGGGAAGCCCAAACCCCAGTGGACCGAGAAAATCTTGTTCTGTGGCTTGGCAGGGAATTCTTTTGGAGGACTGTCACTCATCTAGTTTGGATCATTTGCCTATTCCATAACCAGCCATTGCAGTCAGGGCATGGTTTACTCTTACCGGACTGACCTCTGTCATAGTTAGGGGTAAGGATGGTGGAGGAGGTGTTGCCTTTTGAGGGCAGAGGAGAAAACCTGGAATTGTTTCCTCACAGTGGGTCAGTGGATGGACCATGGAAGTACCATTGCCAAGCTGCAGGACAGTCCAACTTAGACAAGCATCATAGCGATCATGAATCTAAAATAAGACTTGTCTGTGTGGTTGTGGCTGAGCAGCTGGAGAGTTGGATTTTCCAGGGTTAGGGTGAGCTAAGCATGTTGACAGAGTGAAAAGGGGGTAAGGTGTAAGTGCAAGGGTGTAGGTATAGTGAATGACCATGGCCTTAACTCAGAAGTAGGATACAGGGCAGGGGGTGGAGAAAGGGGGCAGTGAAAAATGTTCAATTCAAATGTAGATATCAGGTCCTGGTAGGGTACTGAGACACAGTACAAAGGGGAGTGAGCTGCCAACATAGGGAGGTAGAGGTTACCTGATGGGAAAAATGGGCAAACAGTATATAGTACAGTGGTCAAGACCCTGGGCTCTGGAGCCATAATGTTGGGATCCGATTCTGATTTGTCCAATTACTGGCTATGGAGCCATGGGCAGATTATGTATCTCTGACAGGTCTCAGTGTCCTCATGTATGAATGGGGTGTAATAAGAGTACCTACATCATAGGTTTGCCTTGAGGATGAGTTCCTAAGGGAGTTCCTGGTGGTCTAGTGGTTAGGATTCAGGGCTTTCACTGCCTTGGCCAGGGTTCAAACCCTGGTTGGGAAACTGAGGTCCCACAATCCACTCAGTGCAGCCTTCCCTCCCCCCAAACCCCGCTTTCTCCCCTCCAGTCCTCCCCTTCACAAATGAGTTCCTAAGTGTTAAGTTCACTTAACATCTTTCAGAGCAGGGCCTGATAGATAGTTCCTATATGAGTTTGTGGTTCTTCCTCTTATATAGATTTTGCAGTTGTTGGTGACAGAATCTAGGGTAAGGAAATGTAAGTGAATAGCTAAACTAGGGGAGAGGACAGAATTGTTTCTGGAGATCATGTCAAAGAACTCAAAATTTTGCATTATTGAAAGGTTCACCTTGTATATTGAATGGCCAAGAATTACTACATGTTTCAATGTTGTTAGGAAAGAATTTTTCTCTTAATTGCTGTTAAATAAGATAATTGCATAGATTTCATTTATTTCTCATTAAAGAGATGGCGGTGAAAACTGTTTGTAAATTTTGTAGCTACCAAGAATTAAGATGGATGTTTTGAATATGGGCAAAGAAGGACATTTCCTGTGTAGAGCATTGTATTTCTGCTTCCGTATGCACCCCAGCATCCTCATCAGGAAAGATTTCATTTCCATCCATCACCATGCTAATAGGGCCCACATGGGATCTCATTGATAAGATAGCTCGTTATGTCGACCTCACAAACAGAGAATAAATCACAGTGATCTATGAGTCTGACGAAATTTCCCAAATGGCATCCTGTTATCTCACTGGCGCCTGTCTTCTCAAAGCTGGGAGACCACCAGATTCCAGACCTCTGGTTACGTGACCCCTTCAGAGAATTTTTCTTTGGTGGAGTATAAGGAGGACTCCATCTGAAAGGGAGAATGCTGTTTCTCCTTAAGAGCCAGTCACCCTCTCTTTTCCCTCTAATAAATTTCCTTTTCTTGCCTGACTGCGTGGCTTGCTCTCTTTTTCTCTGCACTAGCCTTACATTCTGGTTCCAAAACCCATGAGGAAAGATCCATCACAACTGGGTGGGCTCCTCTCAGGAGCCCACCTCCTGTGGTCCCCTCTCTTGGACCTTTCCAAAAAACTGAGACGAGCTCCGGGATGGGACTCTCCACTTGCCTTGCTGGACTGACATCCACACACCAGCCCACATTTCATCCATTGGTTACAAGGGTAAGTAAAATCCCATTCTCTCAGATCATTTCTCTCTCGCCTTGTTTCCAAGTCCTAGCACTAGGCAGGAGGATCCCCAGGGCCCTCTGGCCCTTGACTTTGAAATAGGGGACTCCCATTTCAAAGCAGACTGTTATTACTCTCTGAGAAAGTCCTGAGAATGGGAACGCCTTTTCTCTCAGACCTTTCTTCTCGCTTTCTCTCACCCTTGTCTAACCTCCCTTTTCGGCTGCAATGGGAAATTCTCAATCCTAGCCTTCAAAATCTACTCCTCTAGGATGCCTTCTCTGAAACCTAAAAGCTTTATAGACTTGATAACAGGTCCTGATGGCCAGAAAACAGAACTCTTGATTATAACACTCTACTCTGCCACCTCAATGGCAAGTGGTTAGAAGTCCCTTATGTTCAGGCTTTCTTTGCTCTTCGCTCTCGACCCTCTCTCTGTGAATCCTACTCTAATTCTCAAATACTCTTAGGCCACTCAGGGTCACATCCTCCCAATACAATGTCTCCCAATCCCTCTTCAGACTTTTCTTATTCTTCCTTCGACCCTTCTGACCACAACCCACCCCCTATTGCTCCCAATTTCCTTGCAGCCGCTCCAGATCCAGATCCACAACCTCCATTTTACATCCCCTCCTCCCTTCCTCCTTCTCAAGTACAGGCCTCCCAACCCCCAACCCCCCTCCCTAGCCTGTGCCTGAGATATGCTCTGAGACTTCAGCCCCACCCTCTACCCCGAGAGCCTCAAGGCTTTATCACAACTTCCCTACATCCCCTCCCCATACCCGGTCCCAAACAACTATAAAACAGGAAATTTCACTGCAGGACTTCACCTGCTCCTTCCCCTGTTCCACTGCTCCCTTTATGGGAAGTAGCTGGAGCAGAAGGCATTGTTCGGGTTCACATCCCATTCTGCCTCACTGAGCTATCTCAGATTGAAAAGCATCTTGGCTCCTTCTCCTCAGACCCTGATAATTATCTAAAAGAATTCATGTATCTTACCCAGCCTTACAACTTAACCTGGCAGGATATTTACATCATACTTTCAGAACAAAGGAGTTTGGCAAGCTTCTCAGGTGCATGCTGATGAGATACACAGGACAGACAACACTATGCCCATAGGGGCAATGGCTGTCCCCCAAGAAGATCCCAACTGGGATTATCAGGCAGGGAGACGTGGACGAGCAGCCCATAATCACATTGTTGCTTGCCTCATTGTGGGCCTTCAAAAGGCAGGGCATAAAGCTGTCAGCTTTGGTAAGCTCTGGGAAATAACTCAAGGGCTAGATGAAAACCCAGCACAATTTCTAGCCAAGGTAATGGAAGCACTACAAAAATATACAAAATTAGACCCTGCTTCAGCAGAGGGCACCATTGTCCTTAACACCCATTTTATTTCCCAATCATCCCCAAATATCGGAAAGAAACTAAAAAAAAGGAGAAGGCCCTCAAACCCCTCAATGAGACCTTTTATTTATTTATTTATTTTTTTGGAAGTTACACTGATTTTTTTCCCATTTATTTTTATTAGTTGGAGGCTAATTACTTTACAATATTGTAGTGGTTTTTGCATTACATTGACATGAATCATCCATGGATTTACATGTATTCCCCATCCCAATCTCCCCTCCCACCTCGCTCTCTACCTGATCCCTCTGGGTCTTCCCAGTGCACCAGGCCCGAGCACTTGTCTCATGCATCCAACCTGGGCTGGTGATCTGTTTCACCCTAGATAATATACAGAGTGAAGTAAGCAAGAAGGATAAAGACCAATACAGTATGCTAACACAAATAAATGGAATTTAGAAAGATGGTAACGATAACCCTATATGCAAAACAGAAAAAGAGACACAGATGTGCAGATGAATGGGACCTTTTAAATTTAGCCTTTAAGATTTTTCAATAACCGGGAAGAACAGGCAACGCTAGAGAAGGCCCAACAAGATCAGACCAAATGCCACCTTTTAACCACTGCCCTACATGGCTCCAAGCCTCCATCAACCAACAAACACAGGAAGCCACCTGGGTCCTGCTTCAAATGTGGCAAAGAATGCCATTGGGTCTGCTCATGCCTAAATCCAAGGCCCTCTCCAGGTCCATGTCCCAGCTGTGGCATAAAGGGACATTGGAAGGTCAACTG